AAAACATTACACAGTAAATTTAAATAAAAGCCGATGCTGTTTTTTTTCCAAATGTAATTTATGCCATAGTATCCCTTAAACCTCAAAAACTTCCAAATTTGTCGCTTCGGTGAGTTCGTCCACAATAATGTTATTTACCTACGCCCTGTTGAAACCTATTGTCAAAATTGACCAGTGTATTTCAAAAACCGCAAAACTGATGATAATAAAATTTCTAAAATTGCAGTTACACAAAAATCATGGTTTATTAAAATATAATTGAATAAATTAATAAAATGGAAATTTTTGTTTAATACGTTTCTGATCAAAAACACTTGTCTAGACTTAATTCATATCCTACAGTTGGTGATTTGAAATGTCATATTTTCATGGACTAAGAATTTGATAATTAATTTTAAGTTATTTCTATAAATATAAGTGCGGAATATTGAAAATTTACCGCAGCAAAAATCTTAACTTAAAAAAAAATTAAAAATATTACAGTTTAATCTGGAAAAGCCAAGTAGATTTTAAAAAACAATTTGAGATTTCAATACTATGTGTAAAAAAATTGTTAAAATTTACACATCCATCAATATCACGAAAATATATGCAGAAAAAAAAAAAAAAAAATGGAAATAGGGCGATACAATTAAGCACCGGCAGGATCTCGAACCTTGGCTTTGGCATCATAAACCAAAACACCGGTGACAACTAATTGGCTTAGGTAGTATCTGTTCTAGAAATACCTAATATAATAACAGACAGCGCCAACATTCCGAAAAAATTATTTTAATAGCTAAGTGCATGCACGAATCAAATAAATTATCATATTCTAACTTTAGAAATAATAGACATTAAATTACGCTTGGTACATTCGGTTTTCTGATTGAATTTATTCACTTTGGCACTTTGGCATTAATTGTGCAGTTGGTAGTAATAGATGGAACTTGAACAACATCCAGCTAATTTCCAAACATTCAGGACAAAGCCGATTTAAATCATAATATAATTAAAAAAATAAAATCCTGGGAGGAAACAGAATAAATTCAAGTATGTAATGAAAGAAGTACGTGAAATAGATGGTGAAGTTGTGAGTGTTAGTCAGGAATTTGGAACAGTTCGACAGGAAGTTGGAGTTGTTCGGCAAGAAGTTGTAACTTTCCCACAAGAAACGGCTAGTGTTCAAAACAGATTTAAAAAGTTGGAATGTGACTTGAAATCAGGAAGTGTCTTAGCATCGTCTGCGACCAGCATTGAAGTTACGCCACTAGCATGCGACATCGTGGGCGATGTATAGGTGTTAGTTCGAGACTGCTACAGGCTCGATTGTAGCAGTGCGTGGCCCTGGATTAGGGTTTCGCTGTGGGGATAAACACCGACGGTAGCTCTATCAGGTACAATTAAGAACAAGACAACAAAAAGTTGTCGAAAGTTCACAAGAATTTGAAATCGATATTCCCCGTCTGGTTAATTTGGCCTACCCGAAAGCAATAGCAGAAAAGCGAGAACAACTAGCAGCCGAAAATTTCATCAATGGAATTAGAGATATAACCTATGATGGATGTACAGATAATGCTGCGCATAACGAAACCATCAAGTAGGCGAAGCTCCAATCGAAGCCCTAGAAATCGAAGCGACCTAGAAGATATCCAAACCAAAGATCAGAGCTATGTTAATACGAGAACAAAAGGAACTGATAGGAGAAATCGAAGAAACAAAAATTGAGAAACTTCTGGAAGAATTACGAAAAGTTGTTGCCAGAATTTTGGACCCTTGAAAGTGGGCACGGGCCCTACAGAAGAAGAGGACATTTGATACATAACTGATAGAGTATGGCTGAGGTCCCTCTCTCCTTCTGGTGATTCTCAGCTTTCAATGAGGAACTTGGAAGAAGGCATCGAATGATACCGCTGGAAACAAAAAGCACGATTCAAATGGGACTGTAAGGTACGGCTGAGATCTCGCTCTTCTTCTGGTGGCTTGCAACCTGTGACGTGAAAGTTACTACAGTACGATTTTCAAATGAATGCATAACAATGCGGATGCCTTATCCAGGCGACCATGCACGTTACGGCCAGAAGCGACCGAGTAGAAACGGATAAAAGCTCAATTTATAAACTCGCCGTCGAGATTCCGTTTGCGTTTGCGTCTGCATCGCCGTTACCTTAGTCAAAAAAATTTGAGCATTCATAAACTTGCCGTTTGCGTCCTGAAAGTAAACATAACCTAACCTAACCTGTTATTTCTGTTTACGTCAATCTTTGTTTTTTTTTTAAGTTTGTTCGTGCTATCCTACCTCAATGGTGCTATCAGGTGCTATATCGTGCATCTTTGCTAAGTGTCTAAAAAATCGGGATATTCAAAATATTCGATAATCAGCTGTTCCCCACCAGACGTAAACATCACGTGACAGGTAAAAGTCCGTTTTGATTAGCTTTTCCAAATCTGCTACGAGCCTTGCTACGTGTCGGCGACGGAAAATATAAAATTGCCTTATATCGAACGGAATGAAACGGCAGGCCTGACGGCGGACGGTGCGCCGACGGCGAATATAAACGATCTTATGGAATTCCTAATATTCAATTGGTAACGGTGCGCCCGACGAAAACGCAAACGGAATCCCGACGGCGAGTTTATAAATTGGGCTTAAGAATGGTTATGAACAGCTCAGAATTTTTGAACCTAAAGGAAGCTGGCAATAAAACACCAAGAAACAGGGAAAATAAAAACATCCGGCCAGCGAAGAAAAACCAGAAGCAAGAAGATTTGTGGGATACGACTGTTGATTCATAGGTTTATTAATATCCTTTAAAGAGACGTTCTTCAGATTGCTACGATGGGGAATACTACCAGTACTACGACAGTAGATGCAGACAAGGCGCCTGGCAGTATGGCAGTCAACAAATAACAAGTGGCCTCCTTTTAGTTCCCGTCACGTCAGTGCATGTAAAGACCACGCAGGCGTGAGGGTTGACTTGGATGGACAGGAAGGAATCCTAGTGAGCATAGGCAGAGAGATGTCATGCCGATAGTTGTTACGAGAATTACGAGAATGGCGAAAAACGTAGGTAGTCCTAGAGGAGATTATTTCCAAGACATGGTCGCTAGGACTCTTAAATGCATAGTATTGCTGGTAGTAGGGAGATGAAGAGTTATAGAATAGATGATTATGGATCTGAGTATCTGAGTGGAGGTATAGGCATATTGATAGGGTGAAGGCTTATCACGACTCATGATAATGAATGGTCCAGATCGGGACAATCCGATATGAAAAGAAGGCCGTGCCACGGAATTACAGGTTTATTCCAACACAGCCGGAAACCGTACAATTTACGGTCACGATTCTGCGCAAAACAAAAAGTAGGTACCTATGCGTAAAATCCGGAATTCGTATACAAAGTTGCTTCGAAACCGTTCATGGGGCGGCTTTTGAGTTTTGACGTGTAGAAGCTATAAGTGATTCTGCAGTACCTATCAAAAAGATCCTGAATATGTACCTGATTATAGTAACGGGTCTTCAAAAAAAAAAACAATCAAAGATTGCTATGGTTTTTTAAACGTACGTCGCATTATTGTTTCTTTATTGGTCAGGATTTTTGACATGACATTTTGACATTAAAGTTCATTGACCAAATTAAAGAAAAATATTGCTAAGACATACGTTTAAAAAACCATAGCAATCTTTGATTGTTTTTTTTTTTGAAGACCCGATATCTTTACTGAGACAATACGCAAGGGGTCACCTTCAAAATAAAAATGGATACCCCTGAAAACGGCGGCAATCAAAATGATATCATATTTTTTTGTCAGGATCCGGTTGACGGTTGATTTTTTGAAATTGAAAAAAAAAACAATATTTATAGCGGCTAACTTAAGACCTGATCTTTAATATATTTTGGACCCAAGATAGGTTTTAAATCTCATCAAAAGAGTTAGGTACTAGATTTTTACGCCAAAATGGCACCCATAATGAATGTAACAATAATATAGAAACGATTTTCCTAAATTTTATGCAGTACAAGTTAAAGTAATAAATATAGTGTTTGTGCGTCTGCATCTATTTATATCAGTGATAATTAAAGTATTTGTGGGCTAAGCATTAAAACTTATTAGACTGGAAGAGCTAACTATAACTATTTATTGTTCCCGGCCATGTGCTCTTATTTATTACGGAAGGTATAATTCACCGTCGCGTCATGGAGATTCCAAATTGTATTTTACTTTACGATTAGCTTTTGGCAACTTTTCTAATATCAAAGCATACCGGCCGTTGAAATAACTAACTACCTCCCTATTTGTCACAAATATATAAAAAAGAAACAGTATTTATGAACCAAAGACAGATTTTCCTGGAATAAATACAAGTATTTAATCAAAGTTGCAAACTAACTGGTAATCATCCATTCGATTAGTCTGTTGTAGGTATTGATTCTATATAGTCATGTCTATTCATTGGATGCTGTGCCAATTGCATAACGGTTTTGAGCATATTAGCTCTCGTCATTACAATATAAGCAAAAGCATTCCAACTCATAGAAACAGGTTTACAGGAGATACCAAAGATAAGGAGATAGGAATAAAACTATTATAGCACATCCATCTCTACAAAGCAAAACCAAGAAACGACCCGCTTGGGTGTGATAAAATGATAAAATTCGAATTATTAGCGCAGCATCCAATAATTGAGAATTCGGGTAGGTACTCTCCATTGTCTTATGAAGCAAACCACACGTATTGTATGATCTGGCCGTGACATCATAACAAACTCATCATATGAGTGCTTCGATTAAACACTTCTTCCGAGAAAATTCTCTGTTTGGTTTTCTATTCTACTAAGTACAAGGTAAAGAATTTTTTTGATTTTGAATTTTTTTTTCAAAATTCGAAAAACATTTCAATTAACTTGCTATTTCTTATGAATTTAAGATACTTAGGTTCACTTATTTTTATGGATAAAATTAATTCCCTTGAATTTTAAATATAATATGTAATGTGAAAATGTTTAAAAAAACACTTACCATGAATGTATAAAATCCGCCTGGGACTGTCTGTCCTCCAAATTTAATGTTGATAGTATATTCTCCTGCATCCTCCACAGTGTAGTAGATGCTAACGGTACCGTCTCCATTATCAACAATATTGATATCTAAGTCGCTGAAAATAATAATTGATGTTATTATTATTGTTGATTTACAAAAGCAGTTCAAACACTAACGACTCTATGAAATTTAGCTTCCTTGCTGTTTTTCAATCATGCAATAAAAATAAAAACAAGATATTGAATTATTGTCCATGATGTGCATCTCCATTAGCAAAAGTTCTTCACCAAGTTTATTTTTCTGTTTTAGTTAATGAGAGTATTTTTGACGGAAATAAAAATCTCCAAGTTATTATAATAGGCTTTTTTGGTGCATCAGCAAAAGTTTTTATCAGTATATTCTATCAGTTTATTCAGTTGAGTAATCAGGCCTGTATACACATAAAATCAAAAACCTGCAACTAGGTACGTAGGTCCTGATTTTTATATATAGCCATAGTCATTGAATTGGTGATTCAGTAGAATAATTTTCATTTCTATTACCTGTATTTTGTTTCCATTAAAATATTTCTCAAATAGTATGCAGATACCTTTTTGAACATCTCGAAATGGGATGTAGCCTGGTAAAAGCAATAATTTATCAATCAACGAGTACATCATTTAACCATAATTCGGTAATCAGAATGAATGTAGGATTATTCTTTTTTACTGACAATTATCTATTCATCAATTTTATTTATCACAGAATAGACGTTGCTATACCAGAAGAAAGAACCTTTTTTTTTTAATGGCTATTATTTGGATATATTAAGTTTGTGACCTTATACTTCCATAGGGTTTTTAGTTAGGGGTGGTTTTTAGGGGTAATTTGCGGTTTATGGAGAATGCTGCTTAAAGGGATGGTCCAATAGCAAAAAGTTTCAAATGATTGTTGTAGCATAGTTTTTCTTGAATAGTAGCATGTTTTTGTTCAAGGTCACTGAATCAACGTTTCACCTGTTTGTGCGCATTTGATGCAGCAGCGGCCGAATGTATAATCCGATTTCAATTTTTCAAACATCACATTATTGCTAATGAAATGCACTCTTCAATGCTTTTTTGTTCGAATTTTTTGCTTGAAAATTAAGCGAGCATGGACTTGCCTAATGTGCGAGGAAGTTGTAAATTGCATCGAAAACTACCCCTTTCTTGCATTCACTGTAACTTCTAATCGGGGCCAAATATTTGGTGACAGATTTCGACAATCGGCAGCCCATTTATGCCTCTCATAACGCCACAGCGAATTTTTTTTTTCGTCAATTACTCAATGACTTATCGGCCTGAACACGTCGCGCGGAATTTTTCAAAGTCAAAAAAAATTAAAATTGTCGCACAGCGCTGAAATTTGGTACGATGGCTTTATTTAGTGTTCTCATGAATATACTGCAATTCTAATTGTTGCAGTAGTCATGTGAAGCAATTAAAATTGCAGTATATTCATGAGTTGATTCAGTGACCTTGAACAAAAACATGGTAGGTACTATTTAAGACGCTGCAGAAAAAAACTATAGAAGATAAAGAGGTGCTGTCGCGCAGTTTTATATAGCAAAAAACTTCAGCTTCAACGATCATTTGAAAATTTTTGTTATTGGACCATCCCTTTAAGCAGCGTTCTCCATAAACCGCAAATTACCCCTAAAAACCACCCCTAACTAAAAACTCTATGGAAGTACAAGGTCGCAAACTTAATATGTTATTTAGCATATTAAAATGGACCGATCCCCCCCAAAAAATGTTAACTTCTAATTATGCTGAGGTAAACCCTCTTTTCAGATCCCCGTTTCTTGGACTAGGTATATGTTTAATAAACTTTTTTGCATTGCATTGTTATTGGCGAAATAATCTAGAAATGACCTGGAGGAAAGAAAAAACAAAAATCGTTTAAAATTTATTTACCTTCCGCTAAGAGACTTAATTCTGCACGTAACTGCTCCATTTCCGGCATCTTCAGTATTCACGTTGATGCAATAAGACTCACCGCTTGAAAGTGATTTTTCCAGACCTTCAGTTATCAAACATTTTTCCGCCTGAAAAATCAAACATTAGGAAATGCGAAGGAATAGAGGTTAATGTGGTAGCTTCCGTAGAGACGAATGCATCTATAGAGAAATGAAACTCCAATAAACCACAAAATAGCCCGTACGATTTTAAATACCTTCCCATGGTCACAAATTATTCAAATATCAGCTGTATCAAGCTATAACTTGTTCTAAACGAAGAAGATTTTGGCAAAAGGTTAATATTTTTTTATTTGATGATGAGTCTAGCTTTGCCAATATGGGATGTTCAACAGACGGAACTGCAAATATTGATTTTCCAAAATCAGCACAGAATGAAACAATGAAATTTTCAAAAACGATTTAGTCAACGTTTGGGCGGCTATACTCAGTACGAGAATTTCTGGTTTGATATATTTTTTCATAGGAGCTTATAGAAGAAGGTATTTGAAGCTTTTGCAAAACGCGATGAAAAGACTTCTTGAAAATTTATTTTCTGAGGTTGTCATCCTAAATGTCAATGTTACGGCTACCTCCGGTTAACCGATAATTCCAAACCTAAGCCTCGCACGAAAATTAAATTCAATCGGACCAGAAATAAATAAATGCCAGAACGAACGTGATCCAGTATCTCTGTATCTATGATTGATGGTAAATGCATGAAACGTTTATCTCATACACTAAAAATGTCTGTTGGCACCAGTCAGATGGAACCACTCATGAAACGATTTCTCAATGTCTAAAGTCAGTTTAGGCATTTGGAAATAATAGCCGATGAAACAATTTTCCAAATTATATAAAAATACTGTACCTATCTATTGTGCCGAGAGAATACTTACATTTCCAATAGCATAAACCTGGATTGGAATAGGAGTTTTGAGGACATCTTTCCCGCCATATTTAACATCCAATTTATATCTACCGCAGTCATCTGGGACGAAAGAAGCATTGACTGTTTGATTCCCGTTTTCACGGATTTTCACTGGTCTAGGATGTCCATCTGGTCCAGTGACTTTAACTTCTAAATCTCCAAATCCTGCTTCGCTGGTGTCGATTTTAAGTGTAGTAGGAATTGAAGCTGGAATACCTTTTTCTACAATTGCTGGACCTGTTATTTTTACCTTTTCTGGTTCTACAACTGGCTTGACTTTTATTGGGAATGGACTATTGGGGATTTCTTTGCCGTTATAATGAATGTGAGCTTTAAGATTAGCACCTTCATTTGGTGGTATATAAGTAACTTCAAAAGTACCATCTCCGTTGTCTTTTATTTCCGGTTTTTTTGAAATGGGAGCAGAATCGGAAACTATATTAACAGCCACTGGAGCTGCAGCTACTTTGGACGTATCTATTTTAAATTGAGCTGGAATACCTGTACGGCATTTGTTGGCTTCTAGCCCTGGACCATAGGCTTTAACAAGACTTTCATCTAGTTTAGGACCCACATTTACTTTAAATGGCGAACCAGGTATATGGCTGTCAGCAAACCTAATGGCAACATCGTATTCTCCTGCTTCAGTTGGAACATATTCTACTGAACAAGAACCATCTCTGTTATCTTTACATGTCATTTTTGCTTCCGATGGTCCTTCGATGGCCAAACTTAAACCACCGTTTCCGGCACCTTTGGTTTCAACAGTAAAAACATTCGTTTCATTGAGTATACCTTTATCCAAACCAGGTCCATAGGCAATACATTTTTTGGCATCACAACCACGTCGAACATTCACAATAAATGGAGATCCAGGTACTGGAACGTTATCATAAAATATGTCAATGGTATGTCTACCTTCTTCAAATGGAGTGTAGCTAACTTTGTAGGTTCCGTCTAATAAAGCTGTCACAAGCTTATCAGTTTGAGCACCAGATGGATTGGTTATTGTGCAAGTTACTTTTCCATCGTCGTTTACCTTTGGTATGCCTCGAGTGTCAATTAAAAAGTCAGTTGGCGAGTCAACGTAGACACCTGAAAAAATAGTATTGGTGTTAACTTTTTTATCATAAGTTATCATTATCTAATAATAATACCACACTTCATGCATTAGGTAAATCAGTCGTTTTTATAAGTTAATATGGCCGAAATCGGTAGAGTAAACAAAAAAAACAGGCTTATTATTATCTGCTGATCAAACTCCATGCCTCGAAAACTTTAAATATTGCACCCTGTTTGCAGTGTATGTTTCCAAGCTAGGAAAAAATTGCAGTTTCGGAAGGTAGTAAAAACATTTAAACATCTGACTATTGCAACAATTGCCAAACAAGTAAGGTAGGTAGGCATTCACTAGGGGATTGGGAATATGTGGTTTTGATATTCCGATTATTATATCCCAACTAAACAATAATAACTTAGAATTATATAAAGCTGTGGTTTCGCTGTATCCAAACGAGGCTGGAAATACGAGTGGTACAAACAAAAATTAATTTGAAAAAACAACTATTAAGCAATAAAAAAATTTAAAAGCACTTCAATAATTATTAGTTTGGATTAAAAGTTATGAAAACAGAAAAAAACTCGTGCTTGATTAGGGTTTTAAAAAAACATCTTAAACAGAATACAATGTTTTTTTACGCACACCAGTTTACCATGTAATTGAATTCCACTCCCCGATACTTTGATCACATTCATATCAACTTCGGGTACAATCACAGCATTAAAAGGACTTCCCGGTATATGAACATCATTGAAAGTTACATTTATTCCATAATCACCTACTTCTGTTGGCAAATAGGCCACTGAACATGTACCATCACCGTTATCTCGACAATTTATCGCGGCTTCACATGGCCCTTCTACAGTGACTCCAAGACCTCCACCACCTCCTCCTCTGGTATCAATTACAAATTCTGCTGGTCTATTTATTATGCCTTTGTATAAACCAGGACCAGAGGCCTTAACTTTTGATGGATCAGCGCCAGTAAGGCATGTTAATTTAAAAGGCCTATGAGATATCGGTTCTCCTCCGAATGATATTCCTAATAGATATTCTCCTAATTGTGTTGGAGTGAAATTCACTAAATAACCTTCATGTGTAGGTATAACATGAGCTTTGATTTTAGTACCAGAAGGACTTGTTATCGAAATAGCAAATTCTGCTTTCCCAGCATCATGAGTTATGACTCTAAATTGTTGTAGACTGTTTACCGGGGCCGCTATATTTCAGAATAAACACAAGAATTATTGCCGACACGGTATTTTTAATTATAAATATATCATTTTATTTCAAATTTACTTATTAAACTAAACTCTTCCAATAAATACTCACTCGGTTCTAATCCGTCAACTTTTATTTTGGATACGTCAACATTGGGTTCTACTCGGAATTTAATAGGAGTAGTTGGTACTCTAAGGCCACCATAATCTAAAGTCACGGCGTAATTGCCAGATTGATTGGGTTCGTAATCAACAGTAAATGTGCGATCTCCATTGTCAGTGAGCTTAACAGGAATTTCTTGACGAGTGTCTTCGTTGACTAGATGAACATCCAAGTCTGCTTCTCCGGCATCACTAAAATAGAATAATACATAATATGTAATTATGCATACCGAGAATATTCAAGAAACCATTTGTCGAAATAAATCGTGAATAGCGAAAATTTGCGATATTCACATTACATTGTGTAACTGGCTGGATGAAAAAAGCGAACAATTTCTGAGAAATGTTGCGGCTTTCTTCCAGAAAAATTGGATGAATACCAGAAAATTTGAAAAAATTGAACTGACACAATTTCTAGGGAAAAACTGCCAGAGAGAAGGAGAAGAGAGTAGTTCTGACATTATCTAAAAGTTATATTGACTGGAAAAAATATTTTAGAAATTAACCAAACAAGGTTCTGATAGCCTCCGAGAAAAATTGATTAAGAATAGATTAGTTTTGAAATATTAGCGGAAAATTGAGTTAAAAGAGTAGTTTTTAAAAAAATTGCGTAACAAGGATAATTTTAACAGTTTCTGTGGAAAATGGGAGCAGTTTTGATAATAATAGAAAAAAAACTGACAAGACAATAAAATTTTTGAGATTCTTGGTGCGAAATTGACTAACTTGACTTACTTTCGACCGTTTCTAGACATAATTGACTACAAATTATTTCGACAGACTCCCGGAAAAATTGATAAAAAAGGCAGTTTTGACCGAAAGTTTAATAAAACACTGAGGCTTTCTTCCAAAAATAATTGAATGAAAATGGAAAATTACGGAGAAATAAAAATTGGCCAATGAAAAAATAGATTGATATTTTCAGGGGAAAAATGAGTAGGTAAACAATAAAATGTTCTAGAGTTTTGGTTCGAAAATGACTAGGAACAAACATGAATTTAAGGGGAATTCACGCTTTGAATTCTTCGTGATCTACGCTTTCGTTCCATCGTTTCGTGGATGTGTTTACATTGTCGAGGAGCTTCCTCTGCTCAGTCGTGGAAATGGCTTCATTGTATTAGGTGCTTATACGGATATAATCGCTCATCTTCTGGAAAAGGTGTTTACACTAGTCGTGGAACAAGAGAGATCCACGAAAGCGTGGACCACGTTCGTTATTTACGACCAGTGTAAACTCCCCTTTAGTTTTGACATAGTTTCTGGAAATAATTTACTTAAAACAAAATTATGCAAGTGTCTGTAGGCACAACTGACTGAAAAGATGGAATTTTTGACAACTTCTAAGAAAAATTGACTAAAAAGCTGAGGGAAATTTCTTCCAGAAAAATTGGACGAAGTTTCGTAAAACTTAAACCTCTGAATTTTCAACATAGTGCTTAGGAAAAATTTCATAAGAAGAAACGGAGAGTAGTTCTGACATATTCATTAGGTACTGACTAAACAAGACAAAAAAAGAATACCTATTTCTGGGAAAAATTGACCAAGAAAAAGTTAGTTTTGATATTTTCTGGAGGAAACTGACTAAACAAGAAAATTTCTGATAATTTATTTAGCGCGAAGTTGAATAAGAAGAGAAAGAAATTATAAGTTTTGACAGTTTCTGCGAATAATTGACGTAAAACCCATTTATTCGAGAATCTCTAGACAAAATTGAAAATTTTTGAGAAAAATTGACTGAAAAGCTGAGGAAAATTTCTTCCAGAAAAATTGGACAAACTTTCGGAAAAATTAAACCTCTGTATTTTCAAAATATAGGTAGTGCTTAGAGAAAATTGCATAAGACGAAGAAGAGTAGAACTCACATTTTCTAGGGCTTTAGTCACCGGGTAAAATCCACTAAGAAGACATTAGTTTCGAGGAAGATTGACTTAGAATAGTATGAAAACTACTCTCTTCTAAGCTCCCTGATAAAAACATTTGGGATATTTTTTTTCAAAAATCGATAATGAAATAAAGTAAAGACAAGAAAATTATTCTTACCGTGCATCAATATTAAAATGTGTTGGTGAGCCAGCTTTTACCCCATTTTCAACTCCAGGTCCGAAACATAAAACTTTAGAGGCATCAATTGGTTCTGTGACGTATATGCGGAAAGGAGAATTTTTTACAGCAACCCCACCATAATTGACTTGAACAGTATGACGGTTTCCACTTTTGGGAATGTATGAAGCTTCAATAAGGCCATCAGATTGTTGCAGCAGTTTTACGTCAACTTTATTGGAATTTCCGTCTGTTACTTTAACATCTAATGGTGCCGATCCTGCGTTTTTGGTATCAATTTTAAATTTGGTTTGTATATCTTTATGTGGACCATTAGGCTCTACTCCTGGACCATAAACCTCTACTTTTTCAGGGTTATAGTCTGTGTGAGGGAGAATTTGGGAGATATAAGGGCTTTTGGGAATGTCTTCGTTGTCACAAAGTATATGTACTGCGTATTCACCAGGAGCTGTTGGATAATATCGGACGTCAGCAGAACCGTCCCCATTGTCATGACATTCAATTTTCGCTTGAGATGGACCTTGTATGCTAAATCCTAGAGCACCGGTTTCACCGTTTGTTTCAACAGTAAACAAAGCCGGATAGTTTACAACACCACCATTTAATCCAGGACCATATGCTTGAATGACTGTTTCTTTATATGGTCCCACATTAACTTCAAATGGTGATTTATGAATTTCATTACCAGCAAATGTAACCATAACTCTATATCTGCCTTCCTTTAGTGGATTATATACACAGTGATAAACGTTACCATCAACTTTATTCATCCTACAGGTTTCTTTGACACCAGCAGGTCCAATTATTGTAACTTCAGGAAAACCTTCCCCAGCACCTTCTGTGTAAATATTAAATTCAGCTGCATCTTTAACTCTAACACCATTTTGTTGTAGACCTCTACCACTAGCTTTGACTTTCTTGTGATCCGATACTGGCGAAATTCTTACACCAAACGGGCTATTTGGAATAGGTTGTCCGGCAAAGAATATGTTTACGGAATGTAGTCCAAGTGTGTTCGAGATATACTCACATCGCCAAACATCTGGGCTTGTTTGTCTCACTTTTACTGGCACTGAATTTTTATTTCCTGATGGATCTAGGATCACAACTTCGGGAACACCTTTACCTGCGGCTGAGAGAAAACTTAAATTATTTTTCAAGATTAAATAAAGGGTCTCAAAAAATTGCCCAAGCCCCAAAAATGTAATTTTGTGAAACTTTCCATTAGGCCAAATGGAAGTAGGTATTTTTAGCAGACCTTCAGAACTATAAATTACTTTTTTATTGTTTTGGCCTTGTATAGAAGTAGTACCTTGATGGTTTGTTGTGAGAGCAAATTATGTACTAATTTTTCTGACAATAAAACATTATTATTATCGGGTTACTTATTCTCAAAATGTATTAACGCTTGTATTTTTGAGTTAGGTAGGTATGCGTAAGCGACAGGTTTTAAAAAAAAGTCGAACCCTGAAAACCCTGTATAGTAAATAACTCACCTTTTGTTGATATATCAAAATGTGTCCCTTTATTAACAAAAACTCCATCTGGCTGGAGTCCTGGACCTGATGCTGTGACTTTAGTCGGATCGCCTGCATGACCCTCAACTTTAACAGCAAATGGACTTTTTGGCACTTCCCTTCCAGAATACTTCACATTGACTTTATGCATTCCTTCCATTTGTGGTGTATACGAAACCGTGTACGTGAGGTTCCTGTCGTTGTTAAATCTTACATCAACTGGTTCTTTATGACCCTTCGGGTTTTCTATTACTACATCAACATTTCCTTTTCCCGCTGAAAAAGTTTCGACTGTGAAATTCACTGTAGCTCCAGCTACTGGACCTGTTGGTTCTACTCCTGGACCATATACTCTTACTCTGTAAAAGTATTACGTATGAACAATAAGTATGAAACTATCTACCTTATTTGCAGATTGAAATTATTTTTGGAAAAAAACAGAAACAAAAACAACATTAAAGTGAATTTGAAACGAAAGTAAAAGCCCTTTTAAAAGTCGATAATAGGCTAAAATGGAATGGTGGAATGTATCAAAATCTAATATAGGCCAGGATAATTGTGTCTAATTGAATTTGTTTAAACTAAAGGAATGATTCATTATTGAAATAAAATAATATGTAGTTTATAGATGGTAACAAATTGAAGAATATCAAAATGAATGCAATATTAAAGGTAAAATTAAATTGTACATATCGCATATAATAAGCAAATTCGTATTTAGCATGATTATCGAAAGTAGATCACACATATTTATACTTCTATTTCTCGTGTGATGTCTTAAAGTTAGTAATGTTGTATTACATGATATGTCACTCATTTGTTAATCAAGTCAACACCTCTAAAGGGCACTTACCTAGGCGGTGGAATTCTGAACAAATAAATAAAGAAATCAGTTAACAAATGTTATTAAATTCATAATACTAGAATGTGCTTCTGAAGCAAAGGCCACTGGAGAGCACTGAATTATATATTCATAAAGGTAATAATTTCCAAATAATTAAATTACTACCAATATTGAGGATTTATAGCCTTTTTGTTGATTGGTTAGTTTACAATTATATAGAAAAACAGAGTCTATTAGGTATTATTATATTTAAAAAAATGCAGTAAAGTTTTTGGATGTTTCAAAAACAATAATTTCATTTTGACGTGCTTGACAGGTCAAATTCTTTTTGATATTTCAAGCGTTTCTCTTTCCATTAAGAAAACACTTATAGGAAAAACTCTCAATATTTAGATAGTAACTACGTAATTATGAGAAATACCAGATTATTAAAACTATTTCAAAGTTATAGTCTTTTCACGAGGAAAACGAAATCAGGATTTGGCCTGGTGAATCGTTTCTAACACCAAGACCGCCCAGTAAATCGTATGGTTCATAAAGCAAGTCGGTTGGCCTGGAAGTTGATCAGAATGCTAGACTTTCTTTGTTTTTGTAATATAACTGGGAGCCAGGGCATACAAATGTCTGGATACTATCTGCACATGCGCCGTCGTGTACTGTGCAGACAGTGACTGAAAAAATTACCAGGCCTCGCCCGCTGCGTAGGAACCTACTCAATTTTGCAATTCCCCAATTTTTTATTCTTATCGTGATACTAAATATGTCTGATAAACTTACTTATTTGGACTAGTTCTGGGTCTGAGAGGAGCACCAGTTTTGAGTTTCGCATTTGGATACTGCGATAAATAAGTCATCATAGACTGCTCGTCTATATTCGGGTTGACTATTTCTTCAGGTTTAATGAGCTGCGGAATATTTAGCCAGTCGTCCGCTAAGCCCATTGCTTCAGATGCATTTTGGACTGAATCTTTTGGATCCCAATCCTAAAAAATTATTGATGTTTTTGTTTTGGTACCACAGGAATGATATTGATCAAGAAAATTTTAACTGTTTATGTGCAAAAATGTAGAGAAATAGAACTACATATTTTGAAAATATAATGCCTATTGTTTTATTAGATGTTAAAGTGATACTTTGTAACGAGTCTCCTGACCAAGGTGAGGTCGCCAATAAAAAACGATTTGAAACACGATGATATTTGTTCTCAAATCCAACATTCATCAGATATGAAAAACAAAGATAGGTACAATCATCCCAAATGTTCCCTATTGAAAGAACCTGCGTTACTATGGTAGCGACAGTGAAAGTATTTCTACCTGATGCTCTCCGAGTGGGTAGTAAAAAACTTTTAAACTTTAAAAAATCTGAACTTCAAAATAATAAAAATTAAAGGTAAAAAAAATTCAGGTTTTCTGACGTTTTAAAAAAAACTTCATTATCCATTATCCTTCTGTCACACCCAATAACCCGCAGAATGATAAAGGAGCTCATACGGGTTTAAAGGTTCCTGAAAGTCACAAAATCCAGTTCCAAGTTTCAAAAAAGTTGAACTCAAGTATTTGAAAAAAAAAGTGGGCAACCACTCGGAAAATCTGTTCCTCCACTCAAGGAAATGCAGTTTTAAAGAAGGTTGTGCAAATCTGGGCAAGTACGAAAGAGTTCAAATGGATAGAGATGATTTTCATTATTCAAATATTAAATCCCATCCTCGAAAAGGAAGGAGAGGTCCAAGGAAGTGCGGGATATATTTATCAAAATATTAGAGCCAATACAGGGAATTTCTATATAAAATTTGTTTTCCTCGCAAAAAACATGCAGTTTGAATTACTATTTGATTACTAAAGGATCTCTCTTGTAAAGTAACAAACATCACTATCTCTCAGTGAATATCTCCGAAAGGATCTTTAATTTGTTCGGTGACAAACAATTGTACCAAGTCGGTTTTGGATGCATCGTTACCATCAAATTTGAAAGATTTGACTCTCAAATCAGTTAAACATTCCTTACCGGCCAATCAGGACATAAACCAGGTGCTACGGAATCAACCAGAGCTCCTAGTCTTTTTCCATCGTTCCAGTCTGTAGTAAAGTTTTTCATTGGGAGGTCTGGAATTTTGCTTTGGATCCAGTTCATCAGCCTAAAAAAATTGTTTGGTAAATCTCTCAGTTTTCATTGAATTGAATAATGGGGTCCCTATACCTCTGCTTTGGAGTTGCTTCTGTTCCTCCATTCATATCGTCTTCTCCCTCCCACATAGGCATCGATATGGAATAGTGTAAAATTAGAGTCCATATTAAACCTAATATTAATTTTAGTTTGCAGTCTACAATATGGGTGGAATCTGTAACAAATAGTACATATTACCTTTAAATGCATTAAATCTTAGTTTTATTAACTGTTTATGTGAAAATATTACAGAACTTAATTCCAAAATCAAATGGTCAGTTATGAGTAGAGGAGAGTCGCCTAATATTGGATACTTTTTTTTAAACTGTGAAATTATATCAAAAAAACATTCCTACATTTGTGCCAGTTTAATGCAGTTATAGCATAACTAAACTAAGCGGCAGATGAAGTTTGACACTCGAAAAATTGCCTAATTTTGACTTGCTATAACTTCGACATTTCTTTGCCGATCTTGGATTATCAATCAGGGTTACAAAGCGCCATCTTTGGTCTATGCGTCAGTGTCATCGAAGATTTTTTTAAAAAATTCCTTCTCGTTATACAGGGTGTGAATGTAAGGCGGCGAAAAATTTCCATTTTTTGGCGAAGAATATAGGAAAGATGGAGGGTCCAATAGAGTTCTTTCTAGTGGTGACTCGATCACTAGGTCAACACCTCGAGACGTCTTTGCCATTTTTTCAATACATCGCGTTGCTATGGAAATATGGCCATTTTATGGTATTTCATTTTTCTCTTGAAATTAGCGATTCTTTACTTGAACAATAACAGATTCCGTTCAAATTGCATCATGGAATGACTTGTATAGAAAGTACTCAACAGCAGTGACGTGCAAAAGGGAATTTATGAAATTTAAAAAAAAAAAAAAAAATGGATGTATATTGGATAGGGTATCCAATATTAGGAAACCATTTTTTTATTCAAAGGCTATTGATAATTTCAAAACTTTATAGCACTAGTCATATTTGCTTTATCCCATTGCTGTCTTCTCTAAGTAGTCATTTCTGTAAACAATATATTATTGCAGTTGATCTCAAAGCATTGACTAATATCGCCGGATATCTAATATTGGGAATCTGTAGCTATCAATTAGCTATCCAATATTAGGCACATCATAAATTTTTTAGGTTATGATTATTTTGGACAAAAAAAAATAAAATTTTATTAATGAAAACTCTAGAAAAATTTACTCTGTAACATGCACTAGCCATCCCATTTGGAAATATTTAAAATGTTTATCTTTCAACTTATAATTCAGCAAATAATTTTCATACACAAGACATTTCATTTAATTGTCGTTTATGACAACATAGTCTATTATGGAACTCTGCAAACTCATTAGTGGCGTTTTAAGGTGTAACGCAGCTTCTATTTACTAGAAAGAAGCACATATACAGTTACGTTAATAAAATAGGTAGGCCTATTAGGCAGTATCCTTATATTAGGCGCCTTTGCCGCCTTTCCTCTAACAATTATGATTTTTAAATTCAATTTGCGTAATGTTTCGGAGACACTGATTTTATTGTAACAATAAGGCTATTGTTGGAACGATAACGTTTAACGATTATGAGTTTGTAAGCAGATTTTTTTAAAAATGACTAACTGTCGCGACAGTGAACTCTATTTTATGCTAATATTTGAACAAGTACCTACCTATATAAGACAGACGCAAACAAATTGAAAACAATAAATCCGGATCTGTAAAATTTAAAAGCCCTGCTTCATTTTAAGCTTAAAGTTGATTATACGTGCGTGGTCCTCTTTTTAGTCAATATCTCAGACTTAAGAATTCTGAATTATTCATGCTAAAAGAATTCTTTCAGGCTACAATAAGGCCAAGACTCGTGATGCAAGTAGGTAGGTGTGACGAATATTCTTGATTCATTCTTCAGAGAAACGTTTAGTTTACCAAAATGTAAATTGAGATGATCCCTATTTTACAGTCGTTAATTTTCACAATGTCTTGGTAGGGTACTTATTGTTTAAGCCAGCGCTTCAACCACTACCAGTCATAAATTAATATGTAGGCATGTTTCATCATCGTTAAAAAAAATATATATAATCCATGTATATTCATTATCATTTTTCAATTTGTGATAGATGTTTATCTCTCAATGAGTAAGTAAACCAGTGGCGGGTGTGGTTTGGGATTTTAGAAAATATTTTGGGCCTTCTTTTTACCATGTATAATGATATGAGTCATATGAAGTGCGAGGTTAGGTAGGAACCAAATTTACAATGCACAGCGTGTCAATACTGATGCATGAGGGGCCCCCAGGGTCGCTTAGGGATGAATCACCAAATTCCTAGAAGAAAATTGAAGAGGGATCAAAATAGTATAAAAAGTGTCACCAGAAAATTTTGCAAGAACAAGAAGGCAAATGAAAGAGAAACGAGAAGAAGACGAACTCAAACAACTAAAACGGGACTGACTCTAGAAAATTTTGCAAGGACAAGGAGGAAGAAGATTGAAAGGAAAACAGAAAGAAGAAGAGGGGATTGAGGCGAGAACTAGAACAGGAGAGACTCTAGGAAATTTTGCAGAAACCAGCAAAACAAAGAAAGAATGGTGATGGAATCACCGGTATTGTTTCAGAACGTTGGACAAGAAGTCAAAGGCGAAACAAAAACAGTACGAGAAAAAGACAAGTGCGTATGAAAAGGTCAAGGCGAAATAGGGATGGTCTGGGGAAATTCGAGATAAACCAACCAGCAACAGCATTCAGCATTGGTACTGCCATTACGCGCTCAAATGTCTTCAATATTCCTGAGCCAAATTAAAGTTGTAGGCACTCTATATACCTAGTACGGAATTACGGAAACATACCTCTTCAAAAGAAGAAGCAAAATCAGGGAAGTAAGGATATCTGAGGAACACAGGGGCGTATTTTTCGAAGTTAGAGGCTACGTTGATGAAGACCGCGATTCCAGTTCTGAAGACTATTGAAGTCTTACAACTGCGACCGAGAAGGCAATATCAGTGAAAACTATAGCCAATGTCGTTCAGAACAACGTGATACAAAGGACGAAGGTGGATCCAGACATTAGGAAAATGCCACCTCTGCAGTGTGAGTGGGCGATCGCTGACGAACACGCTTCAGACCCCAAATTACGGATGGAGAATAATCTATCACGAGAAATTCTGACAGACTCGTTGCTCAAGCCAACCTCAATGGTGAGGAATGCGATTTGACTATCAACGAACGCAGGGTATCAAGATCAGTGATGCGCCCCGACAGGGTTTCTACGGACTCTGTGATGTTGAAAAACAAAGGGGGTATAATAAATGTTTTTTGAGAGACCATTCTGATATTGGATATAGACAGCACCAAACTGAAGGTAAAAGTGATAGTTGCTGGTGAAGTAGATGAGTTTATATCGAATGTTTATGTCCTAGAGACCTTTGATTTCTTATCTTAGAACTCAATAAATAGAGTCCTGAGAGTGGGCACCGAAAAAATTAGTTTTTTCTTTCCACCTGCAAGACGAATCCCTTGTGAAAACCATATTCAACGTATTTTTGGGAATAGTGAAGGCACATTGGGAAAAAAAGCTAGAAGGCGTGAACGCCATAGTAGTGGAAGTAACCGGGAACATACAGAATGGAATTAATTTTGGGAAGATAGGGTCATTATAGATGAGAAGACCGCAAACTCTGATGAGTCGTCGAAATTCGTCCCGAACATTACCGCAGTTTTCTCTATGAGCGGAAGTTCCTAGCTAGAACCGACAATTCTGCGTTACAGAGTGGCTACAAAATTTCAAAAACCTAGAAGGTCTAATGGTGCTTCGGTTAGAGAAGAGACCATCCATAATACGAAGTCTCAACCCTCTAGAGATTGGAATAACAGAGACAACCCTCAAACACGCCTTTCGTAATTAATAAGCAACTCCCGTATACTCGATGTTTACTAGAATATTTGAGAATGACAGTTAAGGTTGATGGAATAATCTAGCGCATTACAGAACGACCGAGAAATGACGTTCTTCAGAAGTTCGAGGAAGGGAAATATCTAGAAAATTACAGAAGGCTTGAAGAGGGATCCGAGTTAGTTGTGAATCGGACAGAGTCGATTTTTACATAGTTATATAATTTTGTAAACAGTTTTCTAAACAGTTAAGTTCAATATGAGTGATTATTGAATTTTTGTAATAAGTATTGATTTTTGCTAAAAAAGTTTATTTAAGTTCGGAAGAGTAGTTTGACTTAGCTGCGAACCCGTATTACGTAATAACCATCATGTAATATTTATTTTTAACGGTATCACATAAGGATAATTCTCAACAAATGTCTACAACCACTAAACTAACTGATAGTGAGGATTTATCGCGCAACTTCCGTCAAATTTGATTTCTTACGATTCTTACTAGTAGGTACCTCTGCAATTTCTTGATAAAACAAAATTTCGCCTGAATCATGATATTTCTCTATAATAATAAATAATAAATCACATGACAACGTGTTTCTTTTTTTAAACTACATACATTCAAATATAATATCATCATTGTGAGAAAAAGCCACATAATAGTTATTTATGTATCAAGGGAATTATGAGGCCGAGGGACACCAATTGCCCGCGGGTATTAACACCTGATAATTCCCGTGGTACATAGATAATTTTATTTCCTACTAAATTTACTGTATTTTGTCAATTTTTATAAAGGAATAAACCATAAACCAAAATTTCTATTTTTTGTCAAAATTTCACCTATTCAAGGTAAAAGCGGGAGTTATGGAAATCCTTAACTCCATCGGGAGTTATATCCTTAACTCCCGCGCGGGAGTTATGAAATCCTTAACTCCCTGTTTATGATTGTCGTAACCAAGGTATTATATGGTTATAATAGTTCAGTAGGAAATAAATTTATATATAGCCATTACATACAGGGTGACAATTTGAAAAGTAGCAATCGAAAATATATATTAGACAAAAAATACTATCAGGAAGATCTCAAATACGTATCGAGGGATTGGAGGGGGAACCAGAATGAGGCACTTTTTGAGTCACCCCGCCTCACCCCTTAGGGGGTAGCTACCTCAACTTATTTTTTTCTAATACGAACCTACCTTGTGTTGTACATCGTTCGATAGCTCGTTGCTATCCCTTTACAGTCATATAAGAAAATCTTAAATAGGACGATTGGTTTTTGAGATAT